GTAAGTTCAAGTATTTGTATTGTTAAGCATGATGTTAGGTGTAGATATAATGTTGATCTTTGAGTGAATTTCAGAATTTGATCTCCTTTTTGTGATTAATAGTATGTTTTAGTGGAATCATGGTTAAAATTAGCAAGTAGTTTTATAATCTAGGATCCTGTGGTTAACATGAATGGTAACCTTGATTTTGAAGTCCATAATATGGTTATTCATGTTATATGATCCTCAAAACTTGTTCAGTATTCTGTTGTGTATATTGTAGTTAGTTGCGCCTTGTCAGGGCCTGGCCGTTTGATTCACTAATGCCCCCCCCCCCAGCATGTTTTGAGTAACCCCGTTCAGATTGTGCAATTGGGCTGTTGTCGTTGGCCCGGTTATGCCCAAATACCCCCTTAAAATCACCTATTGTGAGACAAGGAACTTGACTCCCCATACTAACACTATTCAAATAGTTCCATAGCTCCATCCTTTCACCATTTGTATTGTATGCATATACCATAGTACATCTAACCATTATTATTTTAATTATTTGTGTTAAAATATCTTTTTTTTTCTGTGGACGACATATCGTAAGTTTTCCTTCCTAACATTAGAATTTGTTTCATGAGTTCGTAAAATTTAAATTACACTCATCTTAAACAGAGAATTTGCATAAACAATATGTTGTATTAGTATTGAGTACATACATATAAACACATAACAATAAATTATAAACTAAAAGTACTTTGATGTGGAAAAGAAAAACCTGCTATATTTGTACACTATCTATTGGGCTATACACTATAATCCAAATCGAGCTATTGTACCTATTTAGTATACAGCTATTGTACCTATACAGCTAATGTACTGCTTGTACAATTTCCATATATATCCGTTGGTTTTTGTAATGAATCAACTTGATCAAATGGCTGTGATGAAGCAACAATATTTGATGTAAGAGCACACGTTCCTCCACTTGGCTTGTTTGCATTTTTGCAGGCTCTATTCAAAATAATCGGATGACTCTGATTGTGTCTTTTAGTGTTTGATCTTGTGGGCTGGGCAGCTCTACGTGTCCCATTAACTTTATCAGATAATTGAGAGACTAAGTGTACTTGTCTGCATTCCTGAGCCTTCTTCTTGCTTTCATCAAAACTCTCTCTTCCAAACTCTTCCATTGTTCTGTTTTCTTTTGTGAATCCTTGAGAGGAGAACAATAAGAATTGGAATTCAAGGTTTCAATTTTAACACCCCCTCAAGTTGGAGAGGAGAGAAGCAACCCCTAACTTTCTAGAAATCAAATGATGGGAAGGACCAGACAAAGGTTTTGTAAATAGATCGGCTTGTTGTGGGGATAAAGGAACAAACGAGAGAGAGATCAGTCAGAGATAAATTGCTGCCTAACAATAGCTGTTTTTAGCTCTGATACCATATAGGAATTTAGAGACTGGTTAGGAAAATTTTCCTTTTGTTTTCATTGCTGTAGTATAATGTATCTATGTAAGTATTTTGTTAAAAACAAAAAAGAAAAACCTGCTATATTTGTACATTATCTATTGACTATATACTATAATCCAAATCCAGCTATTGTACCTATTTAGTATACAGCTGATGTACTGGTTGTACAATTTTCATATATACCATTTAGTTTTTGTCATGAATCAGCCTGATCTAACGATTGTGATGAAGTAGCAATATCTGATCTAAGAGCAAACATTCCTCCATTTGGCTTGTTTGCATTTTTACAAGCTCTATTCAAAATAATTAGATGGCTCTGGTTGTGTCTTTTAATGTTTGATCTTGTGGGCTAGGCAGCTCCACGTGTCCATTAACTTTATTAGATAATTGAGAGACTAAGTCTTTAGTCTCTTATACTTGTTTGTATTCCTGAACCTTCTTCTTGCGTTCATCAAAACTCTCTCTTCCAAACTCTTCCATTGTTTTCCTTTTCTTTTGCGAATCCTTGAGATGAGAACGATGAGAATTGAAATTGAAGGTTTCAATTTCAACATGGCACGAGCTAGCCCACTGACTAATGTAGCATGGGAAGTATAAGAGTTCTTGAACATTTGAAAGGTATATATATGATATCAAATATATATTGTTTGAGTAAGTATTTGTTGAGTCAAGTATGTCATTTGGATAAAATAACAAAAGAACTACTAACTCAAACCTTAACTTCACGATATGTTGAAGATCCTTCACATTTCGAAAGTACCCCAAAAAAATAGAAACAACAACGCCTTAAGCAAGATATTTTAATTCAGTGGAACAGAATAGTGAAAATTAAACATTTATAGCTCCAGAGATGAAAGAAAAATTTAAACTAATAAACTTACCTTCCAAGTCTCTTATATGATACATCATAAGACCAAGTCCAAGACCATCAATCATTGCAATATTCGAAGCACATATAAAACCTTGATAAGTTAATTAAAAACTAAATCTGCTATGTTAGATCTTGTGTGTATTTGGCTAAGCTACCCCAAGAGTGACAACGAATATAGTATGATAATGTCTACTTTGACCACCATGATTGCAAGTTTTCTCAAAAGGTCTCATGTTATATGTAGCTTCTATTTCTCTTCGACTAAAGACTTTGTTTACGTACCTAATAGTTTTCTCCTCGACCTAAATACCACTTGTTTCATCACCAAGACTCGGGCTTTATCTATACATTCACTATGTGCCACCTATAATATCTTAAGGCCACCAAAGTCCACAGGTTTCTCTCTGTGTATGCGTCTCCAAACTATGAACCAAGGGTACCACTTTCACACCATCACTTTGTTGGGCTATAATTCTTAGCTATCTATGGACATTAATAATTGTGTCATCCCCATGCGGGGCATTTGCATCTATACTCGCTTTTTGGGTCACGTTTTAACTTGTGCCCGCTTTGCAAAAAAATTGCAAGCGTATCCACTTTTTCACGTAACTTCAGTATACAGAGCTGAAGTAGCAAAGGCAATCACACAAAACTTCAGCATTCTAGTAGACGGGCCTGAAGTAGCAAAAATTGCTGAACCAAATGTGCTGAAGTTTTTGTTTGTAATTGTTGAACTTAAGCATGCTAGTGCTGAAGTTTTGTTCTCTATTTGCTAAAGTTTTTATTTGTAATTGCTGAACTTAAGCATTCTAGTAGCTGAGTTTTGTGATGCTGAAGTTATTTAGTTCATTTGTAAAAACTTCAGCACTAAATACGTTGAAGTTTTTTTTGTCCTAGATAAGCTTTTTCAAAAACTTCAGCAAAAGATGCTGAAGTTATTTAGTTCATTTGTAAAAATTTCAACACCAAATAAGCTGCAGTTTTTTTGTCCTGGATAAGCTTTTTCAAAAACTTCAGCAGAAGATGCTGAAGTTATTCAGTTCATTTGTAAAAACTTCAGCACTAAAGAGGCTGAAGTTTTTTTGTCTTGGATAAGCTTTTTCAAAAACTTCAGCAGAAGATGCTGAAATTATTTAGTTCATTTGTAAAAACTTCAGCACTAAATAAGTTGAAGTTTTTTTTGTCCTGGATAAGCTTTTTCAAAAACTTCAGCAGAAGATGCTGAAGTTATTTAGTTCATTTGTAAAAACTTCTGCGTACCTGTGGGAATATACTGGGTTGTTGTTGTTGTTGTTTATATAGTTTTTTGACCCATACAATCACTATATTGGATTTTCGTTTTTTTCCTTCTTTCGGAACGTTTTTATGCAGCAGATCAGTAATTACATTAGAAAAAGGTGCCTTCAGTGGAAATAATTCAAATAATCATAAAGTTTAAGTGATATAAAGTGAAACTATTACTTTAACCCCACAGATCAATTTATTTGATTCAAAGAAAAAAAGATTACATCAAAAATGCGAAAAAAATAAAAAGAAATCGTGCAACTTATGTTAGTTTCAATTTATTGGGGCTTAAATTTAGTTGTCCCAACTCCCAATGAAGACCAGATGCTAACCTGTGTTATCGTACTGAAAATATCTTAAGAAAACGAAGGAGGAGAAGGAGGAGGAGAAAAGGGGCTGAAGTTGTTTAAAAAGTGAGTACAAGTTAAAAAATTTTTAAAAAATGGGTATCGGTTAAATGGGGCGACCAAATAGGGCACCCCGTGCAATTTTTACTCCCCATGCTCATTTCGCCAAACTGTAAAACGCTGATACAATTCATTGGGCGAAGCAAGCCCAAAAGTGGCTCTTGATATACTCCCTCCATTACAAATTAAATGAGGTAGTTTGACTCGGCACGGAGTTTAAGGAAAAAAAGAAAGACTTTTGAAATTTGTGGTCTTAAAAGCTTAAGGGGTAAAACTTTGTGGGGCCATGACTTTTGTGTGGTTATAAAAGCTTTTCATTAAGGGTAAAATGGGTAAAATGAGGAGTTTAAAGTTGAATTATTTCCAAATTTAGAAATGTGTCATTTATTTTGGAATAAATAACACTTGAAGAATATGTGCTTTTGACTAACACTTGAAGAATATGAAATGGAGGGAGTAATATGATAATATGTGCTTTGACTAACACTTGAAGAAAGTACTTATGATGTTTGTGATTTTTTTCATTTACCAAACATAAAAAAAACGAAAAAGAAAATTTGTGACGGTATTATAACAAACATAAAAATAAAAAAAAGCGAAAGAAGAAAATCTGTGACGGGTTTATAATTCTTCTCAACAACAACAACAACATATCTAATGTAATCCTACAAATAAAGTTATAAAGGAGAAATAAATAATAAAAAATACTGAAAATGGATACCGAATAAACAAAAAAGAACTAGAAATAAAAATAAACAAAAGGAACAACCTTTTCCAAAATATGGAAAATTCTTCGCATGTGCTTACATTTAATGAAGTTAATCAGTCAAAGTACAGATTAATATTAGCAAAGAATCCATTCTCAACAAATTTCCAAAATTGGTAAGACAAGAAAAAATAGTATACCTAATTCCCCACCAAAACGAAAAAAAAAAAAAGTTTTAAATTACAATATATGAAAAGAAAACAGAAAATCAATTATTTCCACTTGGCTGCCTCGTATCTACAGTATAGTCCTAAGTAAAATCTCCTCACACAGATTCCTCCGAAAACGTACAGAGAGAAACAAAAGAAGAGAGAGACCTTACACAAAAATTCCCATTTTCTCTCTTTTGGTCTCTCTCTCTTTTTTCTCTTTCTGTATAATTCTTTGGCAATTTTATAATCACCCATTTAATTCAAGTAAGTTCATTTCCCTATCTCATGAATCACATCACTGTTTCTTGAATCTTTGATTCTTATTCTGATTCTGCACATTTTTATTCTTTTTTATCTTGTTTTGATGGTGACTAAATTTCAAGATTGGATTTTTATGAGATTTGTGGGTTTATTATGCCTTGAAATTATTGTTACATGTGAGATAAATCCATTTCTTGGTTTGAATTATTGTGGGTATTTTGTGATTGGTTCAATGCTATTGATCTGCCAAATTTGTGGAATTCAAATTCTAGCTCTAGCCCTTTTTGGGTTTTAGCTTCTTGTTTTTTGAATCTTGTTTCCCTTTTATCTTTCCTGAGCCGAGGGTCTACCGGAAACAGATTCTTTGCCTTCTTAAAGATAGGGGTAAGGCATGCTTACACTCTATCCTTCCCAGACCCCACTTGTAGGACTATACTAGGTATGTTGTTGTCGGTGTTTTTTTTTTTTTTTGAATCTTGTTTGTGTATGTAATTTTAGTTTGAGAAGAAAGAATTGAAAGAAAGTTTGGATTTTGAAAATTTGCTGATGAATCTGCATTGGTATGCATTTGTTAATGAATTTTTGATTCAGTTCTTGTCATTGGATTAGTAAACTTTTAAAAGTGTAAAATGAAGTAGAGTGGTCTAAGGTGTCGAATTTAGGCTCTGGTCCGAGATGGCATGGGTTCAGATCCAGAGCTGTGATTATTTGCAAATTTAATGTGCATTAGTACAAAATTAGACAAGATTAGCAATATCACATTCGGAAGAATATGCTAATAGCACACATAAAGAGTAAATATAAGAGAAGGTCGCTTGACTTGATTTAGTCATGTCCTGCGTCGACCTCTCAATGCTCCAATTTATAGGTGTGAAACAATAGTGATGGATGTGTTAAAGGGGATGAGGTATTAGGAAGTTGTCTGGAAAAACCAACAATCTCTTGAAATACATGCAGATAGCACAAAAAGTGTGCAATGGAAGAAAAGATAGATATAGGCTATAGTCTTGTTAGAGATCTGTATGCCTGTAGAAAAGGTAGAGAACCTCTAGTGCTAGAGAATCTACATTTTTACATATTGCACGATCCGGGTCTGAATGGAGTTTACATAGTTGTGAGGATTCATATAGTCAACTCGACCCCGACTAACTTGGGATTAAGACATTGTCGTTGTTGTAATAAAATGAGCTATAGCAGTTAAGGTCATATTGTCGCCTTTAAGAGTGTTTATTACGAGACTGGAATGGTTGAAGGAGTAACCAAGGGCTGAGTCTTTTACTTGTTAAGAATCTTAAGCTATCTCCTTTTGAGCATTATCTGTTCTCATAGGCCATAGCATAATTTTGTAATGAAGGAATTAGTCTAACTACCATCAGAGGTAGATTGATGTATGCATACCTGACAGATTTCCATAATATATTGCAACAATTGACAAATTAGAATGTGAGCTATGATTACAAATTATAAGGTAAAAACTTTAAAGGATGATGCCACTCGTTTCTTAGATGAAGACATAATATGTGGAATTAAAATACGGTGACTGAATGGAGGCTTGCTATAGGAGTGTTATGCGATAAGAAGATACCTACCAAAATGAAAGGCAAGTTCTATAAAAACGTTGTGAGACAATGATGTGTTATAGGAGCGAAGCACCAAAATATCCATAGGATGATTGTTGTAAAGATTTGAATGTTAAGATGGATGTGTAGTCATTTAAAATTAAACAAGACTTGAAATATCGCAACGTAGTGAGCGAGTAGCACACCTGGATCATGACATAAAAAAGATTGCCTAAAATGACTTGTTCCTATTCTGGCCTTCAAATGCACTGGTGGATATCTTTGATGTGACGCATGAAGCTATTACAAGAAGACAAGATAGACTTACAAAAACTTGTTATATAAGCAGAAAGGTAGAGGGGTGGGCCCATCATCTACCGAGTTTCAAACCATGCGCCAATTGACCCTCAGAGATTTCTCTATGATAAGAAAAGAGGACCTTATCTTATCCACACCCCAAAAAAGAGGACAAGATAGACTTAAAATCTTATGGAAGAGAGCTGTTTCAAAGACTTGGAATCTCTCGGAATTCACGTAGATTTAGCTAAAAGGAGAACACACTGGAAGCAAAGGATCCATATAGGCGATACCAAGTAGTTGAGACTAAGTTTTAGTTGTTCTTGTTAAACTTATATTCGAGTGTTGGTGTTCCCGAAGAGCTTTTTCAGTTTGGTTAGAAATTTTTTAAATAAGGATAATGGTGAGATTAGACAATAGTTTTAGAGGACCCCTAATTTGTCTTGAATAACAAATTATTGGGCATTGAAATGATAAGGAAACGCGAAAACCAAATAGACGATTCCATAGCCCTCATGGTGTTGTGAGTTGACATAGAGTTAGGTGAGCTCCTGTGCTGCACGGGTGTGAGTTATGCCTAGAAGCAGTCATGATACTTTTGTTATTTAGTACATGGACTTCTATTTGCATGCCTCAATATTTGGTGGTATGTCGGGAAACTTTCATGCAACTCTCTCATATCAGTGTCGTTCTTCAAGCTATTGGTAGAGACCACAAACTAGAGCTCCTTCTGTCAAGGTTTCTTTTCTGTCTTGTAATTGCATTCTCTTTATCAGCATATAGAAAGTATGATTTACAACTAGAGCTCCTTCTTTTTGTTGAGAATTTGACATTTTTTCTTCAATGGCACATTATTTTTCATTGGTTGTATTTGACACATCAATAGCAAGTGATTTACAACTAGCATCAACGCGTGATTGCAGTTTTATGAGGCGTGTAAACATCATCACTTCTCTTTCTCCATAATTGTTTGCTTAGAGATGGCTGATAAATGCTGCTGTTCTTTTTTACTCTATATTTCAGGTTCAAAAGAGCACCAAAAGAGGTGCTTTACATTGAACAAGTTCTTCCTATCAGATCCTTATAGCACTTGTTGCATTGTGCTATGTGGAAATCCATTTCAAATGCCATTACAAGCTTTGGTCAGAAGAAGGATTCAGCTGCGCCCAGTCAAACCTGTCATGAATACTCGGATGACGATGATATCTGTTCTAATGACAGCACTGAGGAAGGACTAGAATGCCCAATATGTTGGGAATCATTTAACATTGTCGAGAATGTTCCCTATGTATTATGGTGTGGCCACTCTCTTTGCAAGAATTGTCTATTGGGACTTAAACCGGCTTCTGTGAAGATATCCACTCAACAAGTCCAGATTCCATTGTTCATTTCCTGCCCATGGTGCAATTTGCTGACACTTCGGTTGTTTTACCAGGGAAATCTCAAGTTTCCTAGCAAGAACTTCTTCCTCCTCTGGATGGTGGAAAGCAGAAATGGCGACAGGGTGACGTCGCCATCTGCCATTTACAGGGATCAAACTTCAGTTACTGGGATCCAGACTTCTGTCACGAACTGCAGGCGGACTCATCGTCTAGGCTCTTCCGCGTCTAGTTCTACTGGTCCTAGAACTAGCAATACAAGTGGTATCACCACAATGCAAAGGTCCCAGTTTTCTCTTCAGAAGTCCCTTGATTTCTTTTTCCGGGTGACATCCAAGTTTCCTTTGGTTATTGTACTTCTTCTGGTTGTTATATTCGTGATACCTTCCAGTGTGGGCATCCTACTTCTATACCTGCTGATCACAATTCTATTTGGACTTCCATCTTTGCTAGTATTATACTTCGCTTATCCTGCTCTGGATTGGTTGGTGAGAGAGATTACTGCTTGAAATGTAGCCGATTCAATTTGTTTGAGAATTATTTCTTAGAGTTTCGAGTCTGTAATACAAAGTACTGCTTGCACTAGTAAACAATGTCTCATCAGTTTGATCTTAGTCTTTATATCTAGAGATGTTGTACATATTTGTTGGTTTTTGGTGGAAGTCAATGTTAATTTTCCTTGAAAGTTTGAATCTGCTGTTGTTATTGGACTTATAATATCGCGGTTCACAGCCTGATCCTTTCACATTCAATTTTTTCTACTATTACAGTATTTGACTTGTGATGATCTTATGAAAGCTTATATACGGCGAGTGTTGTGCCTCAGTATATATATACATGTTTTGCACTGTAAAAAAGCTATCTTTATAATTTTTACAGCTTTATTATGATGGGTAGTATTTAAAAGCATGAACATGTTGCTGGCATTTTCCCAGTTGATCTGATCTTATTTGCCTTCTCTTTAACCTTAAGCTCTTCATTTTCGCGATTTTGATCTGCTTGTTCTTTGGCTCCTCCTGCAATGCTTTCAATCCTTCCAACTTCATTGTTGAAATGTCTCATGGCTTTCGCCCTACGCCTGTCTAATTCGGCCTGTAATTTCATATTGTTTTTATTTGACAATATTTCAGCCTGTAATTTCATTCAGTCTGTTGGTAAATAAATGAATTCCAGCAGACCAACTATAATAAAAATTTAAGATGGAGTCTACCTCAATTCTCTCCAAATTTCTCTTTGCCTTTTTCTTCTTCTTAGTTTCCCATTCCACAATTTCTGTTATGAGCTTCTTGTACCTGAAACTTCTCTTCTTAGTAAAAGGCTAAACAAGTAGGTCATATATAT